TTAAAAGATCGAATCTCTATAAGGGTGTTCCACCTATATCTTCCCTTGATCTAGTAATTAGACGTTCCGTGGCCCCTGTACCGTTTCCTCGAGGCTCCTGGGAACGGTGTAACGCGTTCACGCCGCTGTTGGACAAGTAGTAGCTTCTGGCTAACCGTCGACGAAAAAGCGAAACGGTATCTAAACCGAACCGGATATACTCGAGAAGCGTTGCGCGGCCTATCCGCGCGCGATAATCCCCGGTGGTACCGTCATCGGGATCGGGGCACGCGTTGTCCGTGACGCGACTCGTCGCCTTAAAAATTCCCGAGTCCAGCGCTTTTAATTGGAAGTCGTTAGCTTTGTGCATTTTCGTCTCGCGGGCCAACGGATGAAGCGGGGTGGGCCTCGACGAGGGCGCGAGAAAGAGATGGAAACGGTTTCGCGGAGGGCGTACGGAGGGGGGAGGTGGAGTGGGAGGGAGAGGGATTCGGGAAGAGGGCGCGAGGAGAAGCAAAGAGTGAGGTGGGGTGAAAGGGGAGGCCACGGCCGATGCGGCCACAGGCATAAAGCTCTTCCCCACCATCGACTCTCTTTTCTCCGTTCTTCTCTCTCACTCTCCTCTCTCCCTGCGTACGCACTATTTTTTAGTCCGCACTTATTACGACAGATGTCTCATGCTCCGATAAAGAATAACGGCGGTCGCCGATCTCCCCCCCCCCCCGCGTGTACCGTGCTAGTCCTATCCAGGCTCGAGAGCTGCAGCCCGTACTCTCGGCGCTTCTCGTGGCTCTCGTGGTGTCGTCGTGACACGTCGCGACGCGACACGGTTACGTTACCTTACGTTACGCACACCTTTTTTGTCTTCCCCCCCTCTCTCTTTCTCTCTCTCGTTTGCCACCCTCGCCTGGAGCGAGGGCTCCACCTCTCTCCCCCCTCTCTTATGCGCTCGGAACGTGTTGCGCCGCCGTGACAGTGACTTTGTTCCACGACGTGTCAACGGCTGGCTGGCTGACTGGCTGACTGGTGTGTCCGCTCCGCTAACGCGATCCCGTCGTGTCCACGCGAGGAGATAAACTCTCGCGCTTCGGTGGTGTGGCGACGGCGGCGGCGGCGTTGGTGGTGGTGGTGGTGGTCGATGGTGGTGGTGGTGGTGGTGGTGCGGTGGTGGTGTCCGAGTGCGCTAAACAGGCCGGTCGAGAGAGATCCTTCGCATTCCGGAGAGTGTGGAGCGTGGAGCGCGCGGCAATTTGCGTCACGGTGGCTGCTCGCATCCCGAACAGAACGAACACGTGGCTAGGTGGGTAGCTCGTGCGTGCGTGTGTGCGTGCGACCAAGCGCGGTTTGAAATTCCCGCGCGTACGGGTCTCCTCTCGCTGGCCGGGAACCGATGCTTCCGTATTTCGCGGGAACCGCGACAAAGAGGATTCAAAGAAAGCTCCACTCTCCCGTGCGCGCTCGCTTGGGCGTTGTATCGTCTTTTTCTCTCTTTCTCTCGCGCACGCCGTTAGAGGGGGTAGAAGGCGGGGGCAGGGCTGGGTGGGGGCGATGGTGGCGGAGGCTTTAGGGGTTGGAGGGATAGAAGGAACGAAACGCACGTGAGCGGTCTGACAGGTGCTGGGAGGAAAAGCTCTCGTCGGATCTGAAAAAAATTGTGAAAATTCGAGACGGCCGCGCGCGGCTGCCCCGTTCTTCTCGATCCTTGTCGAAATCTACTTATTCGCTTTCTCTGTCCCGTCTTCGTTCTCTCGCTCGCTTTTTTCCCTCCCGCTTGCTGCCTCCCTCGCGGCCAGACTCCTCGCGTTCGTCTGCTGCGTCCCCGTGGTACGTCTCGTTCTATCTCTCTCTCTCTCCCTACGACGCTCCGTCTTCCCCTCGAACCGGCTTCTCTCTCCTCTCGGTCGTTCTCGGTCGTTCTCTCTCGTCGTACCGGCGATCGCCGGCTTTTCGTACGTTTTCGTGCTGCCTCGCCGCGACGTACGCCCGCGTCGTCGACGAAGGCACAGCTGCACAGTCGTGACGTGACGTTTCGGGGGTTAGTTCGCACGGTATGTGACGGAGAAAGAGGCCACCGGTGGACTGCTCTGGTCGTAGTGCGTTTCCGGTTTTTCCAACTGCTTCGCGCGGCGCCTTGGGTCCCCGCTCGCGACATGTGATCCTTGTTGGCCGGAGTCGACGAATCGCGAGTCCCGGTGCCCCGGTGCCCCCGTGCCCCCGTGCCCCCGTGTCCACGGAAAGCGGGAAACAAACGCGCTTTATCTGCCTTACACGCTCCCTCTGGACACCTTTACGGTTTTCTCCCTCGCGCGTACGCGTAAACGTCGGTCACGCGATCAAACCGCACGCGGATTTCCTTCCTGCTGAATCGTTTCTGCCGCGTCTCGTACCATCATCGTTGGTCGTACACGACCAGCTTGCAGATATTCCGCGATCGAGAATGACTTTCCGGCACGAAGCACTACTGGTCGAATGTAGGGGACTCGTTCGCGAACTTGTGAAGTGCGCACTTTTTTGCGAGGTGGCGTTGTGGAGATAAAACGTAAACCAGTTTCGATTCAGTTCATTGTTACGGTCATTAGCTTACGCGGCATGACGAGTGATAGGTGTGCTTTCGCGATAACGCATCCGCATTTTTCCAACTGTGATTCCTCTCTGGATAGTGTGGTGGTGAATGTGCCTTAGAAATTACGCAAATATCGTAAACAGCCATTTAGCCGCGATCGCAAAGGAAAAGGTAATCAGTGGTCAGACCGGTCACACACACACACACACTCTCTCTCTTTCTCTGTCATTCTCCATTTTCGAAACGCGTGCACGAAATAATCATCCGCGTATTTCCCCGCACTGCGACTCTCTTTCGCGAGACAGAGACAAATCGAAAGACGGATTCGCCGTGTACCTTTTTTCCCCGTTCGTTCGACTATCGTGTTCACGCTCGCTTAGGATCGTGCATGGTAAATAAAGTTGACTTTTGTGTTATTCGGGTTTCTTATGGGGCCACGCTGACACGCAGCATACGGATGTAAACAATAATATGACAAATACACAATTTTAACGTCCTAGGAGCGTGTCTAGTATAAATTACGCCCCGGAATTAATTCGCGAAAATTAGTTACCATTAACGTTTGGAGAAAGTAAAAAATTCGTCTGGTTAAAAATATAGCGCTTTTTAACGCTGAATTTTCTTTATCGTTAGTGATTCAGCAATTGAGAGAAACGGTGCATTTGAATGTAATCGTTTCGATAAAAATGCGTGCAATTTGGTGTTACGAAATTTTTAAATAATACTTGACGCGGATCTGGAAGGTTCGCGAAGAAAAGCATCGGTGGAATAAGAAGGAAAGGGTTCGATGTTGCATTCGTGTAATATGGATACCCTGTTTTGGATAATCACGCGTTTGACGTCGGGGGGAGAGGGGGGGCGAATTAATTTTGAAAAGGGGGAGCGGACGATTGGAAACGGTTAGAAACAGTGGATAGTTTGAACGTGTACTATTATGAAAGCGTTTCGCTGGTCAGAATTTTCACGAGACTGCGAAACTTATCGCGAATTGGTCACATATAAATTTAGCAGTGCGCGATAGCCAAGTTAAAAAAGAGTCTGAAAACAGTTTCCGAATCGCACCGCCGGCTTATGATAAACGAGTATCGAGAAAGAAATTTCTTTTTTTCCTCCTCGTACGTCGCTAACAGTGGCCACACGATAATCGTTCGCACGTAACCAAAATGTTGAAGTAAATATATTTACCGAAATGACCGTTGCGTGTTTGGTCTCTTGTGTCGCGGATCGCGTTGCGTTAATGACTATTTTCTTCGCGGCGGACGGGCCTGAAAAATATACGAGCGTAAAAATACCTTACGAATCAGCGATACGACGATTATCAACGGAAACGTTATAAAATAGTGTACACGGTGTCTGTGGTGCTTGTTATCGTAAATAAACGCGTTATAAAAAAGACAAAAAAAAAAAAGAAACTATACAATCGACGATCATTAATTCCATTCTCTACATCGAAGCTTTTGTCATAGCAATACCAACACATACGGACGCGTAGCCAGGCGAGCACTGTAAATTTGTTTTAAGATCTTTCCTCTTTTTTTTTTTTATCATTTTGCTAAGATAACACTATCAGCATACATTTAATGCCTGCGCTTTTATAAGTGGCGGAGAGAATTATTTAATCGTACGTTCTGGCTTCGCTCCAGCCTGGCGACCTAATTTTCTCGTATGGTGCAAATAAAAAGTAGTGTATGTAATTCCTCGGCGACTATTTTTACGCCATGCACTCTTCAATTTTTATTCTTCGTGAGCTCGCGAGAGAACTCTGCGTCCCGTAGCCGATTTTCGTTCGTAACGGTTGTACCCCGGCGCGGGCGTCGCGGTTCTTTGGCTGCCCACGGCGAAGATTCCTCGAAGGATCCCCGCGGCCCACGATTCGATGCCACGTAAAAATACCGCCGACTCAGAAGTGTCGTTTTGCGCCACCGTATTTTTATTCCGTCGGAATTAACGACATATGTTCCGCGCGCGACACCTTCGGTCCGGTTCGAACCGCAGCCGAACCGAATCTGCGTATTAATTCGTTATATAAGTTATTTTTTCGCGGGTACAGAGAGAACGTGAACAAAAACGAATCGACATCTGTTCTAACGCCACACCTACGGGTAACGCGCGCTGGTTAAATACCGGTCGACACATCGAATCGTTATATAATTTCGTTGTTTATTGGATCATTTTCTTCTTTTTTATCGATTTGCAACAGCGCTCTTCGTTTCGAAATGTTTTTTCATCGATCATTATCGGGTTTTCGGAACGTTTATCGACGAGGTTCACCGCGCGACTAGAAATTGCAACTCGACGATCTCGTGTTCCGGTCCCTTCGGGTGCCCGCGAACGTTCGAACCGATCCGAGCCAGTCTATCGAACCTTAATTGACTCGTAGCGGGGCATAATGTTTTATTAAGCGATAAGATAAGTCTTGCGTCGGTTTAAATAGCGCACATATTATTTCTGATTATAGGTGAATAGACAACGATGGTAGATACGCAACACTTTTGCCTGCGATGGAACAATTACCAAAGCAGTATAACGTCGGCGTTTGAAAACTTGAGGGACGATGAGGATTTCGTGGACGTCACATTGGCCTGCGATGGCAAGAGCCTCAAAGCGCATCGCGTCGTACTTTCCGCCTGCAGTCCCTACTTTAGAGAATTGCTCAAGGTAAGATACACGCGGCTCCGTCCGTTTCCTATCCCCCCCCCCCCTTTATTTTCGTTTCTTTTTGTTTGTTTCTTCTTTTTTTTTTCATATCCCTGCCTTAACCGCGACTCGATGCATCGTCGAGCGCAACGTCAATGTTTAACTAATCCGAGAAAATGTCCCTTCTTCTCTTTCCCGCCAACCTTCCCCTTTTGCAGAGCACACCGTGCAAACACCCGGTGATAGTACTTCAGGACGTAGCGTTCAGCGACTTGCACGCTTTGGTGGAGTTCATCTATCACGGGGAAGTGAACGTGCATCAGCGTTCCCTTAGCAGTTTCCTGAAGACCGCAGAGGTCCTCAGGGTATCGGGGCTCACGCAACAGGCGGACCAAACGGACAGGGACGAGGTGAGCTCGACTTTTACCCTTCAACCTCGCGAGCAGAGCTTGGAAACGTTTCGATCCAGTTCTCGAAATAAAAATTCTTGGTAACCGTTTCGAGGACCTAAAGTTGCTACAAGCCCTGCTTGAAAGGAGCACCTGGTTTCGAAAAATTGAAAAATTCTAACTACGCCAGCCAACCCGCAAATTGATTATGCTTTGCATGTTATCTCTGACAGAGACGTGACTTTCGACTAAAGTACCACCTTATCTCGCTGCACAATGTATATCCATCTTGATTTCGATCCATAATTGCCATAGGTCAAGCAAACAAAGATAACCGACCATGTTACAAATAGTGAGCCGAACAATCGTAATCGTTCGCGGATCCATTTTCCGCTAGTCGATCAATAGTTTGTTTTTTTTAACGAATCTATAGAAAATTTCCATGATAGTTTCTTGATTGAAAAAGTCAATTACATTATAGTTATCGAACAATGAATCACCGAACTGATCTAATTTTTGATTATTTATTACACTCTTGTCGCGAGATTGAGCAAAATTATTTTATTTCGTCATCGTGTGTCTGCTGATAAGATTGTTATGCTCATTGTTAAAGATTTGATTTGAAATACTCTAAAGTCGGGATCTATCGCATTTTATTGTTAGGCGCGACTATGGCGATGTTTGCTCGGCCAGTCAGCGAAACTTGGACAAAACGGGAATTAATGTCTGTAATTTTACACGAAGTTTCGCAGCTTTATGAATTATGTAATTTCATTGGTGGCACGATTCCGATCGGAGAGGTCTTTCGAATTCTGGGAACGTAGTCGTCTCATCGTTAAAAATGCTCTTCGAAACAATATCTTGGTTCTCTAGGCGATGTAACGCCGAGCTGTTTGCTTCTCTCAACACAACCAAGCCTAATCTAAACAATCAATCCTACGATACCTGATAGCTACGTGACTCGGAGTCTGTGAGGGTGTATGGTTTATGTCACAATCCCATTTAGTCTCTGACCCAACCATGAACCTATGGAATAACAAAATAGCGTCGATCTGTCTGCCTTTGAACACATTTTCAACGTTATTTCTATCGCGGTTAATACTTAATTCGATCAAAAATTGTCCCGCTTTCGTGTTTGGACGAAAATACTGATACGTGTTTCGTTAGAAATTAATTTAAAGAGCAAACAACGTGAATTATTGAATTAGATCAGAAAAAGCATCCTGTCGCGTTGTAGAATTTTGGGCAATAAGCTTCGCCCACGGTCATAGTACTTCGCCTTGACGATAAGAGAAGTTTGTACAGTCATGCTTGTTTTACCGAGAGAGTAAAGTTAATAGTGTATTAAGTCAATGGTTTATATTTGTCTTTTTATTTATCTTTTTCATGACGATTGAACGTGAAAGTGTCGCTTGAAATTCTCTCAAACGTTGAACTACATTTTAATAAAAAATCGAACAAGTTTTGTAGCGACGATACAAGGAATAACATTTAAAAAAAATATTTCTATCTTGAAGAAAAGTGGCGAAAAGTTTCATCAAACCCTAATGCTGTAAAAAAATTGTCGAATAGCACTACTCGTTTTACCATTTTACATGTAGTCTTCCCCCTCAAGTTGTAGTAGAAAACTCGACACGAACATATGAGACGATCTAATATTATTGGAAAATTATTGATTCGTTACCTAGTTTATTATTGGGTCATCGTTGGGAAAAATGAGATGTCCATGTGATGCAAAAATTCGATTGTTCATGACTTGATCCGATTATGGTCGGGGAAAAATATTAATGGGAGATTCTAGAGCCCAAAATAAAACGAAAATCATGAATACCAATTTGTTCATTGAGGCTTTGTTAAAAAGTTATTAATGCTTAAAGTACCGCTTGTACAACGGCGATCTGCGAACAGCTACGTGCGCGCGATAGTGTGTTAATATCTTTTTAACAAAGCCTCAATGAACAAATTGGCATTCTTGATTTTTGTCTTATTTTGGCCTCTAGAATCGTCCATTGAAATATTTTAAAACCAACAAATTGGTATCGCCCGTTAAAATTGTTCCCAGAGGTAGTCAAACATCCTCTATGTCGATCACGATTCTGAAAATCGGTGTCGAATTTGTCTGCCCGATGATTCGTCCGATCCTTTCCCCTTTTCCGCTTTTCCCGTTAACTGGAACGTCCCGGAAGACGAGACAGCGGGCACACGCTCCTGGTCGTCGATTAAGCGGCATTCGACCGATGGTTTTGTGCCTCTGTTGCAATTGCAATTGTTTCTCTTCAGCTGTCCCACGTCCGCGCGTTGGCCGCCGGTGGCAATCATCTTCCTTTCCACGAGAAATTGGACGAAAGCTTTCTCCGAGGTGGTTCCCCGCCCACGCCAGTGACCCCGATACCACCCACCGTGCAGCAATTGATACGCAGGCCGCCGATACGTAAGAACGAAAGACGAACGCCGGATCCGCACGAGGAGCCCACCAGGAAGACGAGGCTGCTGTCGCCGCCGTTGAACAACAACGACGCGACGCCCACGGACTTCTCGATGGTGAAGAACAACCATCTTTCGAGCAAGGTCGAGGGTAACGGCGTGCACGAGGAGGCCAGCCCTCTGGAGGACAACATTAAGTGCGAGCCGTTGGAGCTGACAGGTGGTAACGGCGGAAACGGAGGCAACAACGAGGACTCGTCGGATTCTGCAGCGGCTGCGTCGGACCGACCACCAGCGTCTGCGAGCAGTAACGAGCACGAGGTCGAGTCCGAACACACGTCCACGCTGAATTTTTCGTCAGAGTCGAAAATCTTCCCGCCGACGCCTGGGGGCTATAATTTCAGTATGGCGGCGCTCTCCACGGACCACATGCCGTTGTCAGGTACGCCAACTAAATTCCGCTTGCACGTAGGCCTGTACGCATTGACCAATTTTTATCGTTTCAACGGAGTCTCGATTGTCTCAGGTACAACGGTAACACGAACTCTCGGTGCTCTTTTCTCTTATCTGTCTATGGGCAATGAGACTCGAGACATTCGGGTCAACGATTCAACCGAACTTCGTAAAGTGAAATAACCTATTGCGCGATTAGAAACCTTTTTCAATTTAGAAATCTTGGTAATTCTGGTGATTGTTCGCGAAAGAATATCGAAAATGAAGAGTCCGTTTACAAGAGATCGACTTTAACCCTCTATTTGCCCGTATTGATCCGGGATTTAAAAAAACAATTCATCGCAACATTATGAAAAGGATTAAGTCTATTATTATTACTTTCGTGAAAAGGTTAAATTTTGCATTTTTTTCTTGCTCGCTTAAATAACTTACACGTGGCGTTATTAACAAAATTAATATTATCACACTTCTAACACACCAGACAAAACAAAACTGACGAAGTATCGACAGAAAACAACATTCAAATGCTTGGTTCTATAATTATGAAACAACAACGAATCAGTGTCTTGTAGTTAATTTATTTAGAATAAATATAATTCAACTGTTTCTAATAAAACATAGGTTGCTGACGTAATCTCAAATATATGGTATATTCCGTTTCTTCAAATTTCACAAAGTCATAAGGACATTTTCGACAGGCAGTATACGTATTAATTATGTAATGCCTTTGAGATAACCAATAACAATATTGATGACGGTTGGTAACAACCTGAAATATTAACGTAAATGCTTTGCAAGTTTATATTTGAGATAAAAATTCGGCCCATAAAGGGTCAACGATTCATGATGTATGCGTGCAATGGAGTAAGACTTGGATATTACCATAAGTAGAAACCATGATGGTGGAGATATACCTAAATTCAATTATACGGAAATCAAAGCGGTATTTAACAAAATTGTTATCCTCGTTTTCGATTTTTTACATAGTTTTTCGCGCATAATTAACCCACTGTACACAGAATTTAGAGTACTAGAAACGAAAGGAAATATATCTGTTCGTTGAACGTGTTCGGTTTAAAAAAAGTCTGCTCAATTTCCAATATTCTGTCATCATTCCGATCGCTTCTATTCCACCTGATTTAGTCGCGGTATTTTTCCCCCATTGTTCTATATATTCCTTTAAGAATACCGAATGATGCTTTCTTTTATTATTCATTTTGATAATCGATACCAAGATGACGACGTTACAGAAATATAGATATTCTAAATACAGAATTAAATTCAGAATATGACCTGGTATCCAGCAGCAAATAAGGGTACAACCAGGGATCGAATTAAACGAGACACCGATTGCGATCATCGAGACTCTACCCTTTTCTTTCATCGAATCACTCTTGAAACACCTAATTCTACGGTTAAAGTATTTAATCCTTTCGATTATTTTCGAACAATTTTTATACACTGTGAAAAAAAATATGCTTTATTTTCTCTAATGGACACTCGACTGACGTTCCTTTATCAATTGTACAACGATTCCATATTAGCTGCCCATTTTATTCGTGCATTCGAGGGTAAAGTTTTTCCTTTTGATCTGCTCGTTGCAAGTTTAACCCTTTGCTCATACAAATTATTGATGTCAACTTTGGCAATCATGAACTCGTCATCAAGTTTTATGTATTAAAATCAACACATTTTTCCATTCATGAGGTATTCGTATAATAAATCCATCCTTTTTTATCATTCCTTGTAAGAACAAATTTAAACAAAATTAAATAGTACTTTCGAGTCTTATAAATTAAAATCAACACATTATCCATTTAAAAACAGATCTATCCTTTTTATCATTCCTTGTACGATCAAATTTAAACAAAATGAAATAGTATACGTTTGAAAAAAGATTTGCAATTAAATCGTACGTCGACGGGGTTGATCATGTACGATCTGCGTCGTTGATAGCGAAACGTGTTAATAAACGGATCGAAGACGATTAGAAAGATTGTTCTGCTCGGGTTCTCTGGTAATTGCGAAGTTGCGTACAGGCCGTCGTTCGATCCCACGTCGCGGTAGAACGTTCGTTACTACGTGTAACGATAGTGAAATTTCCAGGATTGGGCCACGGGTTGCAACCACCGGACTTGGCAGGAACCTCGCAAGGTAAGAATATTTACAATCAGCTCTGCCCTGTAAAATCATTAGAATCGATGCTCGAGCGCTCGCGTCGTATGCTTTTTGACGATTGATCCGTAGTCGAACGATGTTAACGGGAGGTGATATCCGATCGATTCGATCCTTTGTTCTCTTGATTTTGCCAAGGGCGCACTCTATGCTATTCCATTATTTTCCACCGACAGTCGATACATCGTGGCCGCAATCGTCTGCGGTGTAGCGGTTCGCTCTAATAAAAGTAACTAAAAAAGACTTGTGCAGTTATATCAAACTAACAAATCACGAATTACAAGAATAAATATTTCTTTTTTTTTTCATTATATATATATTTATATACACATATATACATATATATATAATTTATTTATTTGGTTGCGGTGAAAGAGCACTACTGTCTGCTTGGACGATTAAAACTTCTTCTAATTGGCATGCGTTAAAAAAATCATCGATATCATCATTCCTTATTTGGTTTACCATTTACAAATTCGCCTGCATTCGCATTTCATGATGTCATTACGTTTCGCGTTTACCAACGAATTCCCGTCGTTCGAAGGAATTTATCTGCCGATCGCGCGGACGTTCCTTTCTTTTCTTACCCCGAATTTTCGAGGTTTTCGCTCTTCGAAGGATAAGAATAGCCGTTCGAAACGAATGTACGGTCGATTCGAGACACGCGCCCGGTGTCCACGGGAACCGTTAAAAATCGAGCGTTCGGCAGATACGTTCCCGTCGATCGGCCGTCGAGTTCGCTGCGATCATTCTAATTGGCAGAAAAACGATCGATGAAACCATCAGTTTGGAATCACTGTACAAAATATCCGCTGTAATCTCTACCCGTGATCTAAGGGAAACGAGAATTTCTCTCCCCCCGACCCCAGCCTCCCCCCACGCCCGAACAAAAAAAAAAAAGAACAAAAAGGGACAGAAGAAGTCGACAAGTAACGGATGCAGCGACAGACTGTTTTCTTTGTGTACACCTAGAATTCTCGGGTAAAATTGTCGCCGATTTATTAACACTTGACGCTTTTCGAGTATACGCGAAACCGCGTCGAGCGTCGATCGACGATCGCTCGTCGACCATATGCATATGTGTATTTATACGTGCCGTGCTCGTATTGTCCAATTCGTCGTTGAAGTATTTTTTTGTATCAGTGTTGTTGTCCCATTAACGTTTGGTAACGGAATATACACGACGCTGCCGCGATATCGCCGATAGGACAACATTATGACATTGCTTACCGGACTCGTATTTACGACTATACACATTTATATACAGAGCGGACCGTTTAAAAACTTTTGCATCGAAATATCGATTACGTAACGAATATTAAATATAAAACTTTTGCTCGGTTTCAAGGTGTAGCGTCGATCGACTTGCGTATCTTTTATTCGTTCAACGTTTCTAAAGTTAAGACGGCGCATCGAGGATGCTGGGAATACCGTCGTAGAAAAGTTCTAAAGGCTAGCAATGTAAATGTTGATAGAACGAATTTGATACGAAAGTCTTTTCATTTTCTTCGTGGGAGAAAATGGAAGTTGACCTTCAAATAACCTTGAAGATCAGAGAACCGAGAGAGTTTCGTATTTAAAATTTGGACGTAAAGTTTTCGACCAAACGCTCTCTGTATAGGCATACGTATAGCAAGTATGTATCAACGTATGTTACTACGTTACTTTTTATTGTATGTACTTTGCAGACGTTAACGTTATCTACTTAATTCGAAAGTTTACAGTGCACACCGTAATTGTACGTAATTATAATCGCGAAATGTTTCGTTACGAGGCACCACTTTGCAGCTTGCTCGTTTTCAATTACGAAAGAGGATGTGATAGGTCAGGCCCAAGTTTGTCACGCTCCTTAATGCGTTACGTTCGAGCGACATTTGACCCTGACGCGGATACCATACGGCAACGACGTTGCTACGGTGTATATCTTGACTTATTGACGATTATTTAATTCGCGCAACCGCGAAATGTCTGCTCTCGCAGCGCAGGGTGGGGGGCGTTAGCTGTAAACACGATTATTATCGGTACAGATTTCAACATTCGGTCTCTACAGACAGAATGGAAGGTGTTCTCAGTTTCCATGCTTAGAAATCACTCACCAGTCGACGAATACCATCGTTGGTAAAATTTTATTAGAATTTATCGAGGGATCCGGTGAAATAAAGTTTGCCCAACTTTTGGCAAATATAATATTTTTTTTTTTTGTTTCTTCGCCGAAGAGGAGAGGAGGATCGCGTACCCGCTGTCGCGTATTTTCCACGATATTACCAGCGTACATATTTTATACATTCGTTACGTTCCACCAGGGGATTCGTTTGAATTTTTAACCGCGGTTCGGCGAGCTGGTTTCGCGATTTCGCGCGAAACTTCGGCCTCCGTAATATTCCCGACATTGTTTTCGACGCGATCCTGGGCGAAAAGAGAAGGCCTTTAATATAAACGCGTCCTGACAGCGCCTAGCATCACCAGCAACCATCACCAGCAGCAGCACCAGCAGCGTCGTTGAGTAAATTCAGGTGTGGCCTCTCGTCGTTTTCTCGATTAATATTTGAACGGCTGGCTTATACTAGGTTAGTACTGAAAAAGTTATCAGGGGCCGTCGATAAGGCCGCAGATGTTATCCGCGAATTTCAAGGTCCCTCTATCTCCGTCGAACGTGGCCAGCTAAACATTGGCCTAACTAAAAATACGACGACCTTGGTACGCCACTCACGTTCCCGCGGCGCGTTGCGAATCATTAGACACATTAAATTATACGCGGCTCGTCGTTCGACCCGTACCGTCTCGACCGTCGTATTTTCTCGCGACCTCTACCCGCAGATGGCCAAAATTCTTATCTAGATAACGATCTCGAGCAACAAATAAAAGACAAACAACTTTTTTTTTTCCTTTTCGTTATCGTCTGAATTAAAATACAAATTCAAGCGTCGAAGAAAAATTCGACGCGCGGTACCACTAAATATATGTATATACAGCGAAACGTCGATTATTCGAAAATTATGTTCAAAGAACAAACAATAAACGTATTATATCGCGTTAATAAATTTTTTGATTTGGTTGAATTATCTTCGAATTTCAATAGTTTCGAAGGTCGACTTTTGTTGTCGGTTCTCTTCTCCGGTTTATCTGGTCGCGAGAAAGAAGAAAACGCAGCGAACGGGCAGAGGACGTTGCGGCGTTTTCGCGACGCAAAAATAGACGGTTGTTTGGACGGGCCGTTAAAAACGATAACGGCGCATTATTCGCTCTCGGTTCGAAAATTTCGAACCGTTTAAAAATTCCATCGACCACGGTGCCGATCTCTAATCGGTCATTTGCTCCGACCGAGGTGTTTGTTTTTCGCAATTTTTTTTCCTGGTAAGACCTTCGCTTATCGCCGGGGTGTCGCGCGCCGCGCCCTGTGGATACTCGCGACAGGCATTTTTCGCTTCCTGCGCGGCCAATTGCAACGCCCGTGACTTTTTGGCAACGTTTCAAACGTCGAACGCGAGACAGTTGCAGGGTCGTCGGTCTTTGCAAAACTCTCCAATCATTTTTTTTCCCCCAGCACGACTAAACGACAATGAGAAATTTTTTAAAAATCACAAACTCGTTTCTTTAATTACAAAGGGTTAAGAGGCTTCCTCGAGACAATGTGTTCAAAAGACAGTGATTTTTGCTTTCGAAATTACGGATACGCGAAATTTTTGCACTGGTAATAATTGTTGGCGCGACCTTGTGTAAAAAACGATTCAATTATACGCGCAAGAAGGTTAGGCGAATCGAGAGAGTTTCGGCCAATGCGGATACGTCGAGTCGTACGTTTCGTGGATTACAATATTATGGTCGATAATAGTGGTAGTGGCGCGTCGATTCTTATCGGGCGTATCGAAAGAAAAGAGCAAGGTCTAAAAGTTACGTAGATCAAATTTAGAAAGCGCGTTATCATCGGGCCCGATAAAGTGAAATTTTATTCGCGTCGTTGGATCGTTCTCTCGCAGCACCGCGCGTTCTTTAATCGTCTTTAATTCGTAATGGCTGTGGTTACGTAAAAAACAATCGTGCCAGATAGAAAGTACAACGTACGACCACTTGTCGCGCGATCAGACTTAAACGCGCGGAGCTTCTTTGTTCGTACGCCACTTCTGCCCGCTCCGTTAAGATCTTTTTATTCCAGCAGCCGGCTGCGAGCATATGCTCCACAGTCTGCGCGTTTCTAGGCGGATTCGTTGCGACGTCGAAAAATTTTCGACCTCGCCAACGGGATTTGCCCAACATTTTTCTCTTACAACATTTCTATTCGTCTCTCTTTCCCTCTCTCTCACCACTTTTCCGCCACCAACGATGCAAGACAATTGATTTCTCATCGTGAACCCTGTAAAATTCTAAAATTTTAATTTGGAAAATCTTTATCGCCTCCAACGATGTCCAATCCTTGCATAACAATTGATATTTCACCGCGGACCCTGTAAAATTCTGAAATTTCAATTTGGAAAATTGCTTTCGTTTTTAAACATCGCGAAAGAAATTCAGAACGGCGAATACTACTGTTTATTAGCAATTCATGGAGAGCGTTCTCCTGGAATGGATGTCTTCGATAATTAGCAAATACTGTCCGACAAGGACGCTTAACGAGGGACAAATAATCTCGCGTATATGTACTTTCCAGTAATTCTTTGGTAATGTCCGGCGATAATGCTTGCTTTTATCGCGAAAAGAAGATTGAGATCCTTGTGAAATATAAAACGAACTCGCCGGACGGTTCTTAACGGGGGAAGATCGATTGGTTTGAAAATCGAATACAGAAGAACCGTAAAAAAAAAGAACTCGTTAATCGCCTCGGAACGATCGATTTCGCGAAAAAGAGAGGAGGATCCCTGGCACGACCGTGGGACTCTGTCGATTCGCAAAGTTTTTTATTGCTACTCGATACGCGGTTTTATAGATGGGCCAGAGGTTCCAAACAATGGGAATTATACGATCGATTAAGTTAACCTTTTGCA